CTGCGGGTCTCGTTCGCAGTGGAGCGCGGCCTGCAGCCCGCCGGCGTCTCGGTCGCAGGCGTCGCGCGGGGGTTGGTATTTGTGAAGCAGATGGTTTTGTTGGGGTCTCCCTCTTTGTGCCTTGGCTGAAGCGGCACTTGCCCAGTGTGGAGGAGCTCGATGTGACTGAACTTCTGCGACGCGTTAGTTAACAAACCTTTACCAAGGGACTAAAACACAGTAACGTGAGCTGATTTATTGTCATATTTCTTATTAGCTATATCTGCATGTGTCTGTTCTATCTGGAATTCTTTGGCTTTTGGAGATTTGTTGTGATGCAATACAAGAGGACTGAAATTCATTTTCAGGGGCTTCTAGTACATATAAATATACTGCTCGTACCTAATTTATTTATTTTTATTTATTTATTTTTCCAATGGGAACGCAGAGCTCTTGTTAGGCCGTGCTCTCCACAAGCGAGGCCCTGGCTGGATGCTGCACTCTAAGGGCAGCAGCCGCTGGGAGCGTTGACAGTGAAACCCAAGCTGGTATTTTTGACTGCTAACACTTGATACTGTATCCCATGGAACTGCTGAACGCTGGAGACTTTGTATTTCTGAATGGTTATTAACCTTGAAGGCAAGAAAATGAACTCTGTTGCAAGCCGTATTAAATAGTTATAGAATTACGGGGACTTGTGAATTTTTGTCTAGAGAAATTGGTAGGGAAAAGGGGAAGGCAAAAACAACATGTAGAATGACTCTTGTACAGAGTTGTGTGGTGTGGTTACGTACGGTGAGTAAAGTGGCCTCGTTTGGCCCAAGAGGTGCCTTTCGGTCTGAGAGCGCCCTTTTGGGTCGGGACCTCCTTGTTGATGAAGCGTGGAGTGCTGTGAAGCTGCTGAATTTGCAGGTGCAGTTGGCATTTCATGAAAACTTTGTTTCTATGGTGGTTCAGAGCCCTTTTTGTAGGTACTCACTGGAGCTCAACCGTTGTCTAGGCAGGCCATTCCCCTTGCAGTGGAAAATTGTCCCTTCCCATGGGAAGGACCACGTGGCAGGGCTGTTGCATCCGTGCGGTACATTTTCATGAAACGCTGCTAAACTGCAAGTTTCATACTGGGACAATAACCAACAAGCCAACTTCCTGTCCTCATTAGGCTTTACGAGTCATCCTGGAAACAGCAGTTATTAGCTGTGCTGCGCTTGCGCTGGAATCCAGCATTTCCAGGAGAGCTGCGCGACTGGATCACGTGTGGGATGCAAGGGACTGTAAGGAAGATGGTAGCTGCAAGTGGGCTGCGGGTTATATAATCACACTTGGAAGTCTGCTCGGTTTGAGCTCCTGAGTCTTGCCTGGCATCTGCTCTGGGGGTGGCAGGCGGGCTGGGCCGGGTGTCCTAGTAGGCTGCATGCAGGTGCCCTTGTAAAATACGTCATTTTTGCTGTTCCCTGAAATGTAGTTTAGTAACGAATTTCTTCCTTTTCATGGTGGACCTTCTCATGGCAGGTGGCAACAGGGCCCGATTCCTTTATGCTTCTGTTTTGTGTGGAGTAAGGGCAACTGACAGAGGCAGCTCTACTCCTTTTTTTTTTTTTTTTTCAAAAGAATATGTATGTAAATGCATGTAAAGTCAGCTAGAAATCAAAGGATGGCCTTGAATAAAGAAAGTGGTCATGTTGTTCTTGCTGTTCCTGGGCAAATCGCAAGCAGGTGCATCAAAAATGCCCTGGTTTGTCTCTCTTGGGAACTAGTTTGCTTTCCAGAAGTAATGATTGAGTCTCAAGCTGAAAAACAAAGCAAAAACAAAAAAAAAAACCCACAGCAATAGAGAATAAGTAAAGTTTTAGTTATTAAAAACGTTTCAAAGGTAGGATTTGAAGCTTTGTAGAAGCGGAAGCCTTAAAATGGATGAAATTACTTTAGTCATTTAACATTTTGAGAGATGCTAAAACAGGAGGGTCCTCTCAAAAAGAGCTTCAGCAGACATCTGCTGTATATGAATGATGGGAGTCATACGCCAAATAGGAAGAGCACTTGACTGCTTTTGTTCATAGCTGTGGCTTCTGGGTCAGCTGGCAGCAGTAGTTTCTCACATGCGTAGACTAAATGTCTTCTTTTTGTTTGTAGATATGGCTCGTGGACAGCAGAAGATTCAGTCGCAGCAGAAAAATGCCAAAAAACAAGCTGAGCAAAAAAAGAAGCAAGGACATGATCAGAAGGCTGCAGCCAAGGCTGCCTTGATATATACCTGCACTGTCTGTAGGGTAAGAGGAGCTGAAGGCAAAGCGTGATTGTAGGCAAGGCTCTCTTGTAGCCTATAGCAGAGCCTTTTAGACGATGGTATAATGGAAGCTAAAATACTTCTAAGTGGCCAACTCGCTTGTGACTCCAAGCATTTGTCTGTTGTGTTTCTAATATAAAGTAGTTGTGACTTGTTTGCAGGTCGTTCACTCAGCTGATTGATAACTTAGCCATAAGAGCCCGTGCGGACACGTGTGCATGTTTTGCACAGCTCGTTATCCTGCCTGGTGGATTGCAGGGGCTGCACGAGGTGTCACTGTGTCCTGAGGAGCTTGAGATCCCATGAGATCATTTCCTGTACAACCTACATGAAACGGTGGTTCCTCTGTGCTGGAACTGGCCTGCCCTGGGATCACTGGTTATAAATGTTAGTGAAGAGGGGGAGAGTGTTAACTGCATGATGTTAAAAGGTGTCATGCAGGTGTGATAGTAATTTTCACTAGAATGAATTACTTGACAAGAAAACACTAATGAGACTATGGATTCCCTCTGGCTTATTTCCTGAATGTGCCAGTTTTGGACCTAAAGGATAAACTTGTGTTTTTCACCGAAATAGCCCATTCAAGAGAATAGGTTTGTCACTCTTAATATCTTCATTAAGATTCCAGATTAAGGACTGCCCACTTAACTCCTTGTAACCAGCTGCTCTTTCTGTGAAATGGGCACTTAATGCCTGCAGGAGCTAGTGACAATGGTCTTGGGTGGTTTGTGCCATGTAGAGGATCAGCCTGTGCTGCTTAACTCCTGACCCTTTCCATTAACAGAGTAAACAAATTTTGTGAAGATCTGATCCTGAAAAGGATAAACACTTATACTTTTTGTATTAAAAAGGAAAGTGGTAAGGAAATACATACTCCACATGCTGTTTTGGTGGAAGACTTAAGACCTGCAGGAAGGTTTCTTGTAAGAACAACACTGTTGACAAATGTGTCAAGAGTGTGATGCGATTGCTTAAAAGTAACTGTCTGATACTGAGATTAAATATTCTTAATCTGCAGCTAAATTGGTGCTCCTGTCAGTAGAGATGTCATTCTGTGTTTGAGATTTTTTTTTTCCTTGGTAAAGCAAATAAAAATGTAGTGGTAGAAAGTTTTTGTAATATCATTTAAGTCTTGTACTGTGCGTAAAGTTCCATGTCTCTCTCTAATCAGACACAAATGCCGGACCCCAAGACCTTCAAACAGCACTTTGAAAGCAAGCATCCTAAGACTCCACTTCCTCCAGAATTGGCTGATGTTCAGGCGTAAAGTTGTCTACAGGTCATTACTTTCTAAATAATATTCTGAGAAAGTTGTATTATATACTGTGCTTTTTTTTTTTTTCTCCAACTAACAAAGTATTGGAACTTGCTGCTTTTTCTCTAATATGAAAATTAGCTGTAGGTTAAAATATACCCGGAACTGTTAAGCAGAAGTGAGCCAATGCCTGCGTAAGTGAAAGGGCTGTGGCACTTCACTGTGCAAAGATGCTGTTTTAAAGGGAATTAAGGTTATTTGAAATGGTCATTCTTGGTTATAAAAAGATAGTATTAGTTTTTGCTTTGAAAAAACATTTGTAGAAAATATAATCTGCCTGTTGCTACAAAACACTTAACAGTTGTTTAGCATGTCCAATGATGGAGGATTTTTTGTTCCTGAAATTATGCAAGAAGATTTTTCTGCATTCAAACATAAAATATAACCTCTGTATTAACTTCTAGAGAGATTTCCTCATTGCCAGTTGTTAGGCTGTAACTGAAAAAGCAGCTCTAATGTAAAAGGCTGAAATAAGGTAGAAAGTGCTAGTATGGTATCTCATTCACTCAAAGGTAAATGCCATTGTGTAAGAGTTCAGCTTAACTGAGTTATTCTTGTTTTTTGTAGGTGAAGTCATGGCACCTATTGACTCTTCTACTGTCAGATCTTACATAACAAACCTGCAGCTGCTTTTCTAAAACTGTTGATCAGCAAAAATGAAGGGGCTACAGAAACATTCATATTTTTATGCTGTTCCCTCTTGGGCTTCATGCAAAGACAATTCTGTGTAAATGTACAGTTGTGCCCTACTTGGAAATCCTGAAAAATCAGTCCATACTTATTATAAAAAATTTTTTACAATTGTAATTATATTGATGTTCATATTGTGTAAAATAACTCATTTAATAAAGTAGTACTTTGATTTTACAGTATCACAGATGAAATGCTTGTAGAAGTTCTGTTTCAACTTTCTGCATTATCTGCCTTATAAAATCCTAAAAAAAAAAAAAAGACAAAGTGGAATCTTCCCTGTCCTGCCAAAACTTGAGCAGTATCATTCCACTGAAAGTAATGTACATTACAGGGAATTAATCTTGAGTGAAGAGGGAAGCTGCTCAGCCTTGTTCAGTGTGCTGTGGGCTTGAGCTCAGGCACCAGTGCTCAAGTTCTTGGCTTGAGTGACCTCCCTAGAAGCTGCATTAGCCCGGGGACACTTCCTCCTGCACACTGTTGTGCAGTGTCTGAGAGTCTGGGGCTGCCAGCCGCGTAGAACGGGATTCCTGTGTTGTGAGGGGGCTTCTTCCTTGGAGTCATGCACTGGAGAGACTCTTGTTGGACAAGGGATCCTAACGGCTAAGGAAGCAGAAACGTGATAAGAGTTTAATGCTTTTGGGCACCGTGGCTTGAGTAGTGCTCACTAGTATTGTATCAGGTTAAAGTAACTCTGCTCTTAGTTGTAATACTGATTTAAAAGATATTTTTAAAGATACTTGCGCTGTCCACCACACAGGTTCGAACCCTCAGATGAATCTAGTTATTTCAGTAACAGTTCTTCAAAAAATATGTAAAGTATCCAGCCATTAATACCCCTACTTCCCAGCCAGCTTAAAATAAGCCTATTGGAATAGAGCCAAAGTAGCTAAAATCGTAGGGTTAGTTTTAAGAAATCAGAGATGATTAAGGTTTCATTGTCAAGGAGAAGCTGGATAATGGCACCCTGGCCAAGAGCATTTGAGAAGCTCAACGTAATTAACCTTTGTGTTATGGGCACTGTTCTGATCCCAGATGTGCAGCACAGAAGTGACAGAAACCATCTGAATTGTGCCAGAAGGTCTCCCATCCTCCACACTTAGAGTGGGCTTGTTTAAGAACTTTAGTTTTGAAGTTGCAATAAGAAACTGCTAAAATAGCAGTGATTATTGTGGTTAAATAACTGCAAAATGCAAAATATGCAAAATAACCTTGGCTGTCCAGGTACCCCATGCTTCATGGCAGGTCTCTATATCTAACCTTCAAATGGCTTCCTGAAATCTAGGACCATAGTCTCAAAGACTCATTCACTTAAAAGAATGCACTTGGTATTTTATTATATAAAGTCAAAGCCTTTGTCCACTTGTTTGCTCTTTAATGAACTACTTCTGTGAGATTAGTTTCCTGTCTTCCTTAATATGACAAGTATCTCTGTAAATACTCACGTTGACATAAAGTTTCTCTGTATTATAGTTGCTCTGGGATAGCCTGTATACCACTTAACTTTTATAGATAAAGTTTGTTTTCCTCTGGGAGTATTCCACTACTGCACTTGTACACCTGACATCAGAATGTAACTCTTCACTTATTTTTTTATTTAATGTTTTCAGGAAGTATCTCCCGACAGACTGGCTCCCAGGAGTCAAGAAATCTGCTCTCAACCTTTGTGCTGCATGGGGGGAGGAGTTCTTAAATGTGCCCATGCTGCAGTTTGTCTAAAAATACACCCAATGCAAACTAATTAAGGACTTACTGGTATTTCATAATCTGATTTTACCTTGGAAGATGTTTGGGGTGCATCACTATAGTTTGATCCTAAGGTGAGGTTTGTGTTTCTTCAGATTGTATAGCATAATTTGTTTCCTAAGCAATCTCTCAAAATGAGCACTTAGAGCTTTCCAGCTCTTATCTCTTGCAGGATGGATGAATTATGTTAAATTGTTAATATTTTCAAAACGGTGTGATGTTCAGTTCAAAAATACCATATAATGATTTTTTTTATGTAGTAGAACTCAAGGGTGATCCTCAATTCAATAAGATTCCTGGTCGAGGTGGTTGTAACTGAAAAACCAGTAACAAATTCAACGTATGACTGAATTGTTATGAAGGCTTTATAAGTATAGTGGGAATGCTCTACTAAATGGGGAATTGTCATCAGTTACAGTATTTGCAATACTCCTTGTACCTCAAAGTTCAGAGGAAGGTCTAGGAGTTCTCTAATGTCTTTTCCTGACCTGAAGGATGGCACCTTGTTATCTGGCTAAAGACACAGTTGTGCATTGTAATGTGTCTGATTAAAGAGAATTAAAAAACTAAAATGTAAAATGTGATATTTCATGCCTGCTCTTAAAAACAATTACTACTTCACTCCTAAAATGCATTTTATGGGCAGTCCTGGAGCTTGACGCTCTCTAAAAGGAAGAAAAATAGGCGTGGAAAAATTCCTGTGGTTTCCTGGGAAAGATTTATCTTTGTACAGGGACAGCTTTTAGTTTAAGTATTGTGATATTGTCAGTATGGCTGTCAGCTGCGATGGATATTGTGGAGTACAATTCTAAAATGTGATTTTGGCTCTTCTCTTCTGGGGTTCTCTTTAAATACCTTTAAAAATAAGAGCAGGAAAAACAAGCTTTTGGGGAAAAAAATCACCTCCGATCCCAGAAAAAGTTAGCATGTTTAATCGTGTTTAGGGCACCTCAAGGACTACTGAGTAATCAGTTGGTAAGAGCAGCTTTACAATTTGTCTTAATGCAGACTTGCAGAGTAAAGTAAAAGTACAGCAGCTTGCCTATATCTAAGAAATCCTATTTTCTTGCTATCAAAAAGCTGCCTGGAAAACCTGGAAGTAGCCGTAAGGAATGCTTAACCTTACGCAGTGCTCTCACATACCCCCTGGAGACTCTCCCTTTTGGTTCTTCTCTGTTAAGCCCAAAACACTTCAGCTCAACTAAAGCTACTGACCAGGACTGTTTGCAAACCACACCATGGTGAAGGAATTTGTCAGATTTTGGTAAACTGTATAGAACTGTTTTTGTACCTTCATAGTGTCGACTTAGTAGAACTTTTGTTTTTATCATCGGACACTGATGGGATTGATGTCTACGTTTTGTTCACCATTTTCACAAAAGCAAGTTGAGAGCATTAGGTTTTACTGAAATCGTGGTCTTCCTTACATTTGACCAGTGACTAAAGGTCAGCTTGCATTTTTATCTACTTAGCTGCATTTTGGTGAGTGTAACTTAATTTACCTATTTAGTACCACAGAGGTTTTACAGTGGACTTTGAATTCACTTCTGAAACTTAACTTTGTACTTGTTCAGTTTATGATTTTCTGTATTCCATAGCAGCTCATCAGAGAGGTTGTTCAAGTCCTCAGTGTCCAGATAGGTAACGTAAATGCGAAGAATATAAAGTTCTGTTTGTGGAATTTTACTATCAGTGCTTTGACTATTTGGAAATACTTGATGTATTCTTCTTGTTTTATGGCTTTTGGTGTAGATAAGATACACTAGAGATTTCCTGAGGGAGTTGCATTATTTAGGTAGCTTTCAGTAAAACAGTAGGTTGGATGTATGTTTTGAAACTCTTTGTTATGGCTCTTAGCCCTGAGCTTTCTGGAAAGGGAGGAATTTGTATCCATTCCAACACTGTTATCCAGACTGAGTCTGTTTGCAACTTTCTCTGAAAATTACTGGGCATATAATGTTTAAAGCTAAGTTCTGTAGTTAAGTGCTGATGGTGCAGCCAACACCTAACAATTCCATGCTTAGCTGTTAAAAATCAAACATTACGTGAGATGTTACTATATGTTGGAGATCTTTCAGGGAAAGAAAATCTAAAGAAAATCTCAAGAAGTTACCTAGCCCCTTGCCTCGCTCCCAGACTGGCCTGGACCAGTTAATGGCACTGACTAATTAATGGCTTCCCATGAAAGGGATTCTATGACTCTAAGCAGCGTGTGCCAGCGTTGAACCGTGCAGCAGGGAAGTGACCAAAGCAAAAAAAAATCCTTGTGAGTTAGGTCGATTACTGCTCTCACTGGCAAAATACATGACGAATAGTGGCCTTCTATGAGCATTGCTGTCACGGTATCATGGGCAAGTCTTGCACGTGTCTTCTTTTACTCCATCATCTGAGTTGTTATTGAATATACCCGTCGGGATGGAGCCTTGCAGGACTCCCCTTCAGTATCATCTCAGTGTCCCGGTAAGCTGTTGGCAGTTGCTTTTTGAGGTTATTGTTTACAACTGTCATTCTCCTTGTGACAGGTAGGAATTGGTGCTCACTAATTCATCTGTGAGGTTTTCACACAGTTCCCATGCTAAAAGGCTGTGAAGCAAGTGAGATTTCTGCACCTAGTGCGCCAGTAGCCACTAGGCCAGTTACACAAAGGAAGAAATAGAGATGAGCGTGGTCTGGCATAGCTTGTTCCTGACACATCTGTGTTGGTTGGCTTTTGCTGAGTTATTTTTCCACATGTATTAACAAATACATTTTTAAAAAAATATGTTTTTGCATTTCTCCAGGTTGATGTTGAGTGACACAATTCCTTGTTTCTTTTTATATTCCTTGTGTTTTCCGTCTGTTCTCTTGGACTCTTCAGACTCTGTGAGTTCTCAGATATGATCATTAGTGAGCTGCATTAATCTAGCTAATTACTGGAGTATTTTAGACTAAATTGATCAGCTACTGCCAACTTGAATACCATCTAAGTCCTCTAAATACTTTTAATTCATTCTTTCAATTTCTTAACATGCTGCTATTCTCTTACTAACCTTTTTATGGCCTACAGTTTACCTTTTTTTAAATATTTATAGCCCCTTTTTATCTGCCTCTGTCTCCCTGGCTGGTGTTTAGCTCTGCAAATAAAGCTGTTCCTGGGGCTTTCGAACCATCTAAAACCAAGTTATCCGCCCATCTCTCAGCACCAGCCCCATCTAACCAAAGCCTACTACAAAACGACCAAAGCGAAGTCTTTGAAAATAGGATTTTTTCGGTGTTGCTTGGCCCTGTGCAGAGGACGTGGCAGGGAGGCCGCCTGTGCAGCGCAGCCCGACGTCCCCTGCACAGGCTGTTCAGTGTGGAGCTATCAGAAGCCGTATGTACTTCATGCTGATAAATTCATGGGCCCAAACCTGCTAGAGCTGCACATTTTCTCATTAAGGTTTGCGCCGTGCTACGTATTTGCT